AAATTTCTAAAAGAGTCACGACAACAAGAATTTTCTTTGGGAAATATCCCACGATTTAAAAATTATCAGAATACTTATCTCTCAAATTATACCCAGTAGATCAAATAGAGGCATTAATGAAATAGGCAACATTTGGAAATGGATAGCGGGAACACCAGATCATGATGATTTCATAACAGTCTAAAATAAAATCGATGATTTAATACGAAATAATGACGATCAATTCGTTATTAACTCAAAAATATTTGAAAGGATAAAATCTTTATCTGTACAATTCAAAACAGCCTTTAAGGATCAAGAAATTCCACTTAGAAAATACCGTCCGCGCTTGCTTACTTACGATCTTAAGAATTTGATGGACTCAATTACACTTGCCAAAATTGATGTATTTAATACTAAAATTCTAAATAATGATGATATACTAGAAATATATAAGCACGAAGATAGACCTGTAGTTATAACAGACCTTTTAGATATATCTGAATTTAAAATCGCTTTGCATCAAGATCTTATTATAATTTACATAAAATACCCTATTATTACCGATAGTTGTGACGTTTACAATTCAAGATCCATTTCACATAATGATGGAAAATTATTAATTGATAATCACGTCGCAAAATGTAAAAATAAGTACTATGTTATGTCTAATTTTAAGACAGAAATATTTAATAATTATTGCACACTTAACCCAGAAGGCTCGTGTTCCACTAGATTACTAAATGGAGAAAAATCCTTTGTAACAAAATCCGAGAAAAAATTAAAATGTAGATGTAATCCAAGATGGAGCCATTTTTGTAAATGGAGAAAATACAGTTAATGACACTCATTTAAATGGGTCATATTTAATAACCTTTATTGGCACCACTAAATTTAATAATATTTCCTACACCAATATAGACAATAAGATATTGAAATACATCACAGCTCGAAAATATACAGATTTTTTAGTATCCGAATACATTATATCTAACGATTCGGAACTCACATTCTATTATCGATTTTTTTAAATTTTATTTATTTTATTTTATTTAAATTAAACAAACTCAAATACCAGTTACGTTAATATTAATCATATTCACAATTGTATATTTAACTATTATGATTATAATCAAATTCAGAAAATTTTTAATATTCAAACCATGGCAAATTCTTACAGAAATTGAACCAGAAAATAAAATTTCCAATAATGAAATAAATAATATACCCGACAATGAAAATACCCTAGAAGAAAATGTCACTGTCGAATTAACCCATTAATTACATTCAATATACCCATCAATTCCAATGAATCGGGACGATTCAATTTAGAATGGAGGGTGTTAGTTATATGACACATTATTTAGGGGCTTTTACCCAATTTATAAACAACTTTGAGCCGAGAGCCAATTTCCAAATAACTCTGACAGATCCGAGATAAATTCGTGGTCAGCTATTTCTGTCAACCAGGGCTCCGAATCATTCCCACCCAGATCAATTTCACGCAGCCCAAATCAAACGGGTGCTTTAAACATCCAGTCCGCTAACGTAAACAAAAGATCCCCAAAGCGAGCCCAGAGTCCGCTAAAGTAAACAAAAGATCCCCAAAGCGGCCCCTAAGCTCCGCAAATGTAAACACCAATTTAAGGTAAAATTTCTGCGGTAAAATAAAACACTATCTCCAACACCCACTCTTGTTGTCCTTGTTATCGCTAACCAAGCAGCGACTTCAACTACTGTTCTAAATGCATTTCCCCGTGATCTGCCGAGAGCCGTCAACACCACTTACTTTGCTTTATATCAAGTTTGTCAATTGAATTATTATTTTTTTTTAATTCTCACAAGGAAAAGTGTAAGAGATAAATTATTGAAATTCAAAAGTTAGCCGCCAAGTCAGAGGGCGCTTCGAACATCATATATATTTTATCGAATCAAAACATCGATCAATAACGATACAAATCCTAATAAGCCGTTGAAGAGAGTAAATAAACAAGCGTTTTGTTCTTCCAGAAATATAGTTTATTTACTGGCTAAATAACTTAGGATATAAAACTTACAACAATGACGTCACAATCAGTTAGTAAACAATCTTTTTTTGACAAAAGGTGGCGCTTTGTCAATTTCAATTAGCAAAATAAATACTTTAAAGTTATATAAAAGAGTAACGGGTATCTGATAGTCGCAGCACTTCTTCTTATTTCTTTTTTTTAACTTGCCTATGTACATTATAAATTGGTATGAGTAAGGCTTTTCTTCTTAGTTGTTCCAATTATGACATTGCTTATAATTGCATTTAATTAGAACAAGAGAAAACGCTATAGTCAAGTGCCGCGTTTATAAGATACCTGTTACTATTTTACACATATATTCGAGTGCCGCGACTATAAGATACCCGTACTGTTTTACACAATTTTAAAATATTTATTTTGCTAGTGGAATTTACTGAAGCGCCATCTATTGTCGGAGAAAGAATGTTGAGTAACTGATAACTTATAACCTAAATATCTTCATAAATAGCGAAATAATGTTCCGATTTGAAAAATCTTTGGTAAATCGATAGATATAAACAGAAATAAGTTATACAAGGTCAAACGAAAGCATTTATAATATTATTATATACGCCAAAGTGTTCCGCGGTTTGTGGGCGTTAGAGTGGGTGTGGCCGGATGAAAACTCGTGGGAAGTTGCAGTGGCATCCCTAAAATACGTATTCTTAAGTCTAACATTCTAGCTCTTTTATTTCCCGAGATTTTTGCATTTTTGGTTTTTCGGGTTTTCTGGGCGTTAGGGTGGGCGTGGCTAGGTGGAAACAATTCACATTTAGGGCATCATTAAAATATACATGTTTAATCCGAGCTTTCTATCACTTATATTTACCGAGATATCAGGTTTTCTTGAAAATGCGAAAACCGTCTTTTTAGCTTGGTGGGCGTATGGGTGGGTGTGGCCAGTTAATAGTACCACTAAAAGATTCGCTGGCATCCAAAGTTTATACATACTGAATTTCAACTTTCTAGCTCTAATGGTTCCCGAGATTTTAGCGATTTTAGTTTTTCACGATTTGTGGGCGTTAGAGTGGATAGAGGATGCTGAAATAAACTTGAGCGGTCCCGGGACCGCAATAATCTTCATGCTTAATCTAAACTTTGTATCTGCTATCTGTATCTGTATCCTGAGATCTCAGCGTTCATACGGACGGACGGACGGACAGACGGACATGGCTCAATCGACTTCGCTAATGATACTGATCAAGAATATATATACTTTATAGGGTCGGAAACGCTTGCTTCTATCTGTTACATACTTTTCAACGAATCTAGTATACCCTTTTACTCTACGAGTAACGGGTATAAAAAAATTTAGCTAGTAGAAATTCACAAAGCGCCACCTATTGTCACAGAAAGCATGTTGAGTAACTGATAGTGACGTTACTGCCCATGTAAGGCCTTATGACCTAAATTTCTTTATAAATATGCGAAATAATGTGTAGATTTAAAAAATCTTTGGTAAATCAATAGATATTGATAGAAATAAGTTATACAAGGTCAATCGAAGGCATTCATATTAATATTATAGACGCCAAAGTTTTCCGCGGTTTGTGGGCGTGGTAGGATGAAAACTAATGAAAAGTTGCAGTGTCTTCTCTGAAATACGTATTCTTAAACACAACTTTCTAGCTCTTATAGTTCCCGAGATTTTTGCACTCTTTTTTTCGGGGATTGTAGGAGTTAGAGAGTGCGTGGCGTGATCGAAAAAAATAACAATTCGCATTGGGAGCATTATAAAAACCTACATGCTTAATCCGATTTTTCTATCGAAAAACCATCTTTTGAGCTTGGTGGGCGTATGGGTGGGTGTGGCCGGATAATATATAAGATGCGCTGGTATCTAAAGATTATACATACCAAATTTTAACTTTCTAGCTCTAATAGTTCCAAACATTTAGGCGAATTTAGTTTTTCGCGATTTGTGGGCGTTAGAGTGGCCGTGGCAGGATGCTCTTATAAACTTGCGCTGCGTAGGGACCTCAAGAATCTTCATGCTTAATCTGAACTTTTTACTCTACGAGTAACGGGTATAATAAGATACAAGGCTACATAACGAAACAACTAAGTCAAACTTCTTTCAATGTAGAAAAATATATTTATAAAAACTCATAGTGTATTTGTGAAAAATCGCAAAAACTTATGATTTCTTCAAGATCAATTTCATCCGTTTCTTAGTGTCTTTCTAATATTAAATATTTTCTTGCATATTTTAATTAAAGGGATTTTCATGTGTAGACATTTTAAATGCTGGAATGAAACAATCTGGAGTATTTTATTTACAAATTCGCGGTACAACATATTGGTTCTTAAAGGTGTATTGTGATCAAGAAACCACCGATGGAGGATGGACGGTACGTATTTAGTCTCAGATTGAAACACATATTTTTACATTGTTATTTTAGGTGATTCAAAAGCGCGATGATTTTGGAGATCCTCGGGAAAACTTTAACAGAGATTGGGCAGATTATAAAAACGGATTTGGTGAGCCCGGCAAAGACTTTTGGCTTGGGAATGAGAACATATATATGTTGACAAATAACGAGGAATATTCATTACGAGTAGAACTTGAAGATTTTGAAGGAAACAAACGGTGAGTCTAAAATATTTTGGAAATCCCAAGGGTTGACTGCTCTTAATCATTATATTCAGACCTTTAACATGGATATATTTAATAAAGTTTTAAAAAAATATTTTGAAAATATTTGAGACATTTTTTAAAATTTGATTAACTTTAATAATAATAATAATAATAATAAACAAAATTAAATAGGAACGAGTTGGGATTAGATTGAAAAATAAATAAGTTAAGTAAATTTAAAATTTATTACAAAAAAAGACGAAATGTTATAGTCGAGTGCCGCGACATAAGATACCCGTTACCGTTTTATACAGTTCAAAAATTCAAAGCGCCAACTCTGGTCAAAAAAGCATGTTTACTTACCGGTGATGATGTCACTGTCCATGTGAGGCCTTATAACCTACATTTCCTTATATATAGCGACATGAAGTTTTGATTTGAAAAATCTTTGTTAAATAGATAGATATAAACTATAACAAGAGAAAACGCCATAGACGAGTTCCGCGACTATAAGATACCCGTTACTGTTTTACATTTTAAAATATTAATTTTGCTGGTGGAAATTCACAAGGCACCACATTTTGTCAGAGAAAGCATGTTGAGTAACTGATTGTGGCGTCACAAACCATGTGAGGCCTTATAACCTAAATTTCTTCATAAGTGAAATATGAATGAATAAGCGAATTAATGTTCCGATTTAAAAAATCTTTGGTAAGTCATACAGGTCAAACGAAGGCATTCATAATAATATTATAGACGCCACAGTTTTCCGTGAATTGTGGACGTTAAAAAGGGCGTGTCAGGATGAAAACTAAAGGAAAGTTGCAGTGGCATCTCTAAAAAACGTTTTCTTAAGCAAAACTTTCTAGCTTTTATAGTTCCCGAGATTTTGGCTTTTCGGGTTTTGTGGGCATTAGGGTGGGCGTGGCTTGATCGGACAAATTATTTTCATTGGGAGCATCATAAAAACCTACATGCTTAATCCGAGTTTTATATCACTTCTAGTTACCGAGATATTAAATTTTCTAGAAAATGCGAAAACCGTCTATTGAGCTTGGTGGGCGTATGGGTGAGTGTGGCCGGATTATAGTACCACTATAGACTATACATACTGAATTTCAACTTTCTAGCTCTAATAGTTCCTGAGATTTCATTGATTTGAGTTTTTCGCGATTTGTGGGCGTTAGAGTGGGCGTGGCAGGATCCTGTTATAAACTTGGTCTGCGTAGGGCCCTCAAAAATCTTCATGCTTAATCTGAACTTGCTATCTCTTATAGTTCCTAGATCTAAGATCTAAGACAGACAGACGGACATGGCTCAATCGTTTTAATCGTATATTAATATTATGGACACCACTGTTTTCCGCCACTTGTGGGCGTTATAGTGGGCGTGGTTGCATGAAAATACCGCTACGAGCTGCGGTGTCATCTCAAGAGTAAATACGGATTTGAGAGTTTGAGTGGGCGTGGATAGATGATGAAAAAATAATAAGCATTTAAAGCTACATGCTTAATCGCAACATTCTATCCCTTGTCGTTACTAAGATCTCATATATCTTCTACAAAAAGTATCAACCTTCTTCGAGCTTGGTGGGCGAATGAGAAAGCGTGGCCGGTTAGTGGTTCCACTTTAATAGTGGTGCCACTCTCCCTAGGATCTCAAGATTACACATTCTTCATCCCAGCTTTTAGCGATTTTAGTTTTTCATGATTAGTGGGCGGTAGAGGGCGTGACAGGATTCTGAAATAATCGCAAGGGTCTCAAGAATTTTTTTAATTTCAAATGGTTAATGGTCTTAAGCTAATGCGCTGGCATAATTGCGCGTGTATGTGTAAGCATGCAAATTTCAATATGTTTAACAAAGCGAGAATTCCAGTGAGCGCGACCATTAACGAGCGTAATATTTAGCTTTCGAGTAATAATTCAATAAGAGTAAGTTTAAGCTTAATATAAGAGTATCTGTTTTAGCTATAATTACATAAATATATATCTAAACAGTAGGACTATGGAAATGAAATTACTAAACAGGACGCTTAAAGTAAGGCCGGATTTTCGTTCAACATCACCAACTCTTCGTTTTTTTAAAACTAAAATTGAGTTCCTTAGGTTCGAAATAATGAATGGAGGTATTCAGGCCTTGGAAGTGGTGCTATCTTCAGAAACAGTAACACAACGGAGGAAGGACAATTGCTATTAAGGCATACTGTACAACTTTTAGCATAAGGTATAGGTATAACACCCACATTAAGATAAATTAAGAAACAACTTAACTGTAAATATTATACATATATACTGTTATCTATTTCTATCATGTAAGTTCGCTTTAAGAGATCGTTTTGTATATTAAGACCTCGGCTGGCTTTACAGTACCCATTCGGTTGACCCAGTTTTTAAAAACATTTCCGACCAGTTGACATCGCCGTTTCGGCTGATTATGCGATTTTCGAACGTATTACGCCGTCCTGCTGGAACCATATGTCGTGTATGTCTTCCTCTTCCCTTCGGGGAAAGAAAAAGTCTTCCAACAGGCCGCGATAGCTGACACCATTAGAGGTTTTCAAAGAAAAACGGCCCAATGATGCCACCCGACCACATAACGCATCAGAAAGTCAAGATAAGGATAAGCAGCTAACCATGGCTAGTTTTATACTATTACAACAATTGGTCATTCCGGTCCATCAGTGTAAAGAGGGGGAACAGGGCCTAATAAAGGTTTTTCGCTCAGACGAATTCGGCCGCCGCTCTCCTCTCTCCCTCTCTGGTTGTGTCTTCTGTGCTATGGACAGATAAGATAATGTTAGATAATGTTAGATAAAACAATGTTAGTTGTTTTCGGAAGAGTTTAATTTATTGTGTTTAATAAACCTCCGCGTCGGTCAAGTTCAAGCAGCAGCCAGAAGACTCAGAAGCCCGATCAAAGACGATACATGGAGCCAAATAGGAAAGTTGCTGAGCGGACCGAGCCGGCTATACAGGTATAGAATGATTAAAGTTGGAAGTTAATCTGTTAATCTGTTAATCTCTTTTTGCATTAGTGTAAAATCGGTAGATAGTGAGCATTTATTTATTCATTTTCCGCTAAGTGTCGTTACGTAAAATATAAAGGAGAGAGCCACAGACCGGATACCACACATACACACTCTTGCACTAATATCGCTGCCAGTTCTTTCGACTCTCTCTCTCTCTTTGCATTTTCGTTTCAGTCGTTGGACAAGTGCAAGCGTTGTTGTTGTTTTTCGCAACGTTTTCGGTATTCTGGCTGAGCTTGTCCTACCCTTTAAACGATTGTGCGTACGGCGTATTAGTGCCGAAGAAATTAACATATAAAATATTAATTTTATTTATTTTTTTTTTCGAAAATTCATCGACAAGTCTCCTGCTTGCCTACGTTCGGAATATACCACTCGTTATTTTTTATTTTTTATTTATTATTTGATTATGATGAAGTATAATAAATTTTTATCACACTCTTCGATTCTTAAAAAATTTTAAAAGCAATAACATGGCAAGCAAAGATATCGAAGAGCTTAAAAATAAACGAGATGGTATAATGCGGAGTATATCCCGAACATATCTCTCCTGAGTATATCTCTAAATCCAGTCGAATTAGAATGTCGATAAGAAATTTTAAATTCGCACATCGAAAATGCTTCTTTGAATCAGAATCAAATCGAAGCAATGGATTTGTTCCGCCAGGAACTGGAAGAGACTGCCGTAATGGCAAAATCATAATTTCGCTAATAAGCAAAGGCAAGCGTATGAGCGCCGATGATGTTGCTCCGACGGTGAAGCGCACATCCTAATGCCGTTTGCCGAGCGTTGCTCTTCCAACCTTCAGCGAAAAGCACTTCGAATTAAAAAATTTTATAAGCCTTTTCAAAAGATTTGTCGACAAAGATGACACTCTGCACGATATTGAAAAATTAAATCATTTGATATCAGGGCGTTCCAAGTCACTGCGGTTAATTACCCCAAAGCCCTGACTAGCCTGAAGCGGGTGTACGATAATGATTATCTGATTTTCTTCGAAAATATATCGACACTTTTCAATCTGCCGAAAATGTCCAAGCCGTCAGCTACAGCCTTGATAAACCTGATCGATTCAGTGTAGCGAGCGGAATATATAATTTTAATTATTTTTTAATTACATAAATACATACATTGTATATGCCCATACAAACTAACACATTCCTTCTCAAGTGTCCGGCCAACGAGCGGGCCCTAAAATGCTGATCATGCATTTCCACTGTGACGACTGGCTCTTACACCAACTAACCTTATAGCTGGCCGTCCCGTGGTATATGTAACCATAAGACAAATATGCCAATGCATATATATACTCCTATCGCTGCTTACTTCAGTATTTAGCTTCTAAGAAGAAATGTTTGCGAATAAAAGTTCAGTCTGTAACACCATTCACAACGACGACTTTATGATTTTTTCCATAATTACATGGCGACCGTGACAGGACCATTGAAAGTGCAAAAATAAAAACACTTACAAAACTTACTTAAAAAAATATTTCTAAAACAAAAAATAAAAGAAGTTAAAGTGTGAAAAAGTGCAAAAATAATAAACATTACTACAAATATATTCGACACAGAGAAATGTCTATAACTTAGGATGCTTTTGACAGGGTAATTATAGAAAACCCAGAAAAAAAGTTGAATCTGCAACTGACAGCAACGAAATACTGGCAGCATAAATATTGCTAATCAGGCTAATGAGTAGCCAATGGTTAGGACTAGATAAATTCTTGGCTAATAAAAAGACCGAGATTTTGAGAAGTTATTAGTGTGTTAACAAAAATACACACATAAGAAAAGAAATGCTCGAAAAACATTTGTGCGAAATTTTCATTAACGCCAACAAAGTAAGAAGACCAATAGCAATAAGTCGCGAATCAGTATCTACTTGTCATGAATCTGTTGTAAGAAAATCTCTTCAAAAGTGTGAGATTGTTTTCCATATACCAGAAAATTTTAAAGACCCAATAGAGGCAAATATAACAA